CCAGCAGAGACCGGTCCACCGTGGACAGACCCAGATCTTCCAGCAGAAACCGGTCCACCGTGGACAGACCCAGATCCTCCAGCAGAGACCGGTCCACCGTGGACAAACCCAGATCCGGCTTCACCTGCAGCCTTGGACCTGCAGTCTGGAGCTCCGGAGGGAGGAGGAGAGCTCAGCTCCCGGCAGCAGCAGCAGCGTCTCCTCCTCCTCCTCCTCCTCCAGGAGCAGAGCTTCTCCTCTCTGGGAGCCAACACCGACACCACGCTGCTGGAGACCCAGGACGTATTGCTGGACCTGCTGGAGGGAGGGAGGGAAGCACGGGAGAACCAGAACCAGAACTGAGAGGGGCAGACTGTCAGACCCTGCTGCAGTAAAATGAGAGGTTTTCTAAAGGGACTATGGTGCTCAGAAACACTACCACTTTAGTCCACAGGGACCGCCAGAAACAACACAAAGTTAAAGTTCCTTGTAGTAACTTTAAGAGTAGAACTGCTTTTTTCTGTAACAGCATCCTGAAGCAATCAGGGATCTTAACTCCTCCTCATCAGTTCAGTCTATGAACTCAACTTAAACTGTGTCCTTTAGTGGGTCTCTGAATGCATCAAACACTTGTGTTTTGTATCTGTATTGTTTGTCACATTTTGTCTTCCCCGAGCAAACACCAAGACAAATTCCACAAATGATTGAATCGTAAACTAAAAGAAACACTTTTCTGGAATTTCCTGTGAAGATGTTTGCTGAACATGTGCACTTATCAGAACTGTTTCTGTCAGTGTCGACCAGCAGAGAACAGACTCTGAACCCAGCTGTGTGTCCACGAACAGTGACCGGTCCAGTACTGTCCCTCGGGGGTTCCTTCATGGACATCAGTCCGATAAACAAGGGTAAACTTTTCAACCAAAGGAAACATTTTTCTCTTATTTCATTTGAAGAATTTACTTTTGTATGTCCGTGAGGAATCATCTATAAAGACAAAATATTAAGCAGTCTAAAAGAACGCCTCTCTCTATGTAAGACTTTATTTTTCTGGTTTCTCATAATATGACACAGAATTACTCTGTTGTCATTAAGTCTAAACCCTTTTTCTCTACAGGCTTCAGCTTCAGAGATCAAATGTTCCCAGTAGTCGGCATTTCCAGAAGCCTCAAGCAAACTTGGATTCAGTGTTTAAGGTATGTAAATTTGAGCTCTGACCTCTGAACGCAGAGCATATTAATTGTATGTTTTGTACATAAAAAAAACCCACCTCCATTTCCTCTGTACACCTTGAACATGTGACACTGAACGTCTAACCACCGCTGATGTGCAGGTTTGCACCTTGTATGGCAACCTCTGCCATCAGTGTACAGGGCCTAAAACAGGCTTGTTGTGATCTCTAAAAACAAACTTGACGGGAGAATGTGTGCATCCCTACGGGAAATTTGACCCACGTGAGAGGCATGTTATACATGTTATAAATCCGCTTTATAATTAACATTCAAACCAGCAGTTATATTTGTGCTTGTGCTAGTGAGCCATAACTATTCCAAAAGCACCTTTCAATTGTCAGAGCTATAAGTCAACTCAAATCAAATTCCGCTCAGTATTTCATCAGTGCTGTCTGCATTGGAGAGGGCCAGACTATTGACCATTAAATGAAGTACAATTTTAGGTTATGTAGAGTTTTAGTTTGTAAAATCACTGCAGTGAAAACTGTATTTATTTATTCATGGTTTATTGGATAGGGACGGATACAGTATACTGTACTCAGACAACCTGAAAACAGATATCAATACAACTATTAAAGCTCACTGGAAACACATGTGACAGAACAACCACCGCCATTTCCTTTGTGGAAGAAAGAATAGTGCACCTTGTGTTGAGGAATAGTGCACCATCTTTGAAAATCTGTCAACAGAAAAAAATTGCTATTTTATCTTCGGAGGGAGGTAGGCCAACGACGAAGTCCAGGGAAATGAAACTATGTTTTTGGGGCACACCGAGCAAGCAGCAACATATTTACCCTCCTTGTGAATATATTGCTCCTTGCTCATACTGTTGTTTGTGATCTTCCGGGAAAGGGTCACGTGAGAGGGGCGTGACACGCTCAGTGTAAACGTAGCAAAGCATATGCGTTTTCAAATGGAAACGTAGTAGTGTGGACTTGGCCTCAGGCTTTGACAAAAAATAACGTGGAATAAATAACGGTTGTTTTTTGCACAGTGGACAAACTACAATGTGCGTCACATTACGTCGCTGTCAGGCGCCTTTCTCTGCAGGTGGCTAATCATGACTTGCAGACCCCCGCCCTCGGTAAACTGTCAATGGATGAATCCAAAAAAAGAAAAGTCACGGAGGAAAATAGAGAGTTTAATTCTGCGTGGACGTCTTCATTTGCTTTCACTGCCAACGATGCTGACTTACCTGTATGCTTGATATGTGGCGAGAAATTTGCAAACAATACAATGTAATGTTGAAAGACACTTCCAGAACAAGCACACAGCATTTGCTGAAAAGTATCACGCTGGAGATGAGCGAAAAAGAGCGATTTATCAACTGCTGCAGCAAACTGAGCAAGTTTTTGTTTTAACAGGTAAAATAGCAATAAAATGTCAAGAATTGTCTTTATTCTTGTTCTATAAATTCATAAATACAACAAACTATAGTTTTTGTATAAATAATATGACTATATATAACACTTTATAAGCTGTGATATCAAATAGCTTTTGCGGCTCCAGAAAAAATTTTATTTGGTGGAAAATAAGGCAAAATGGCTCTTTGGATAGTAAAGGTTGCCGACCCCTGAACTAAGAAGACGCACACTGTAATTAAATCCTATTTTACAGTGAGACCTAGACAAGACAAGACAAGACAGGGTCAAATAGCAGCATCCAACACATGACAGGACAACACTATGAGGACACATTAGACCATGAAGCAGTGTATGAGATCGCATTAGACCATGATGCATTAAAAGTGACCTACTTACCAGAGTACGACGGATAGAGGGAATTAGCAGAAAGCTATGAATAGTATTTATCTAGAAGAACGCAATGAATAACAAATGAATAAAAAAGTAGAATACATCAGGAAACAACAGGAGGACATCTTGCAAAGCCAAATCAGGCCAGGCTGTAAAGTGGGACGGGCCAATGGGTCATTCCCCACTTCTTACCCATCTACTCCTGCTGGCCTTGCTCGGACTGCACACATCTTTGAACTCTGCCTGTTTTTTTGTGTGATCCTACAATACACTTGAAGAGATTTGTGACTTAATCTATTGTGACACTATTACCGGGACAAATCTGCCCTCAGACAGACAAGCAAATGGCAAAGTACTAAAGACCGCTTATGTGTTAGTTCTGCTACAGAAGTTGCCTACAGGACATTTTCTCCATGATGACGCACTCAAGTGGTTTCAGTCCTACTTTTCAGGCAGAACTGAATATGTCTCACTGGGAAGATGCAAGTCCAGACTGGTCCCTGTCTCCTGTGGTGTTCCGCAAGGTTCGGTCCTCGGCCCCATCCTCTTCATTACTTACATGCTCCACCTCGGTCGTGTCATCAGTAGACATAGGATGTCTTTCCACTGTTATGCTGACGATACACAGCTCTACATCAAAGCTGCCCCAAGCCCCTCTGCAGCCATGTCATGTCGCACCGCCTGTCTTGAGGAGATAAAGGCGTGGAGGAGCAACAACTTTCTCCAGTTAAACAGTAGCAAAACCGAAGCCCTCCTTGTTGGCACTCCACACCAGGTTCAGTCATCCTCCATAACTCATCTCACCTTCGACGGTCAGGTCATCACCCTCTCCTCCAAAGTCACTAATCTGGGATTTAGGTTTGACCCTTACCTGACCTTTAATGACCATATAAAACACCTGTGCAAAACCTCCTTTTATCATCTCAAAAACATCTCCAAACTCCGCCCACTTTAAAGCTGTCAGATGCAGAGAAGCTCGTCCACGCCTTTATCTCCTCATGACTGGACTACTGTAACTCACTCTTCACTGGGATCACTGCCAAGAACATCCAGAAGCTGCAATACATCCAAAACAGCGCTGCCAGGATCCTGATGAGAGTGCGGAAGTATGAGAACATAACACCCACTCTGCACTCACTACACTGGCTCCCTGTCTCATTCCGGATTGACTACAAAGTCCTGCTACTCACACATCATGCACCTCCCTACCTACAAGAACTCATTACTCCCCAAATCTCCACCCACACCCTCAGATCTTCAAACAGCTCACTCCTCCGGGTCCCCAACACCAAGCTCCACACCATGGGCAACCGGGCCTTTGGCTCCACACCTATGGAACAGTCTCCCTGACCACCTAAGGGCAACACAGACATTGGTCTCTTTTAAGACTGGCCTAAAAACCTTTTTATTCAGGAAGGCGTTTCTGACCTTGTGCTAAATCACTGTTTCTTTTGTGTTTCTGTTCATTCACTGTTTTATTATGCTTATGTTTACTAGTTATTTTATTATAGTTTGTTTTAACTATGTTTTAACTATGTTTTTACTATGTACTGGCTCTGTGGCACTCTGAGATTTTCTGAATGAAAAGTGTGTTAAAATGCATTATTATTATTATTATTATTAAGGTGAAATCAATACCAGCCACACACTGAGGCGAAATATAACAGAATATAACATTTAAATAAAGAACTATCGATGATTTGAATGATTGTGACCAGAAAGACGTGAATGTAATGTCGAGCTCAGCTGTGACCAGTAAAACAGGTTATCAGAGGACAGTGAGCAGCGACGTAGCTGTGAAGCAAAAACTCCACCACCAGTTATATGCATGTGTATATAAAATCTGAGCAAGGCACATATACAGAGCGAGCACTTTCCCTGCCAGTTTGCTGGATTTAGCCAGAGACTGAATGGTGCCGATCAGGTTGTTACCTGCACAGAGTGACCCGGAGTAACCGGTGAGATTCCCAGGCAGGGAAACGAGAGGAACAAGATGTTTTCTCCGCTGCTGATGAACTGACATGACTGAACTTACGCTAGAGCTTCATATAAAGCTTCATCATTTCTCAGACTGTTTGTCTGGCAACATGAGGTGTCCAGTTTGTGTTGTGTTTCTTAGGTCTTGATGTGTTAAGTTAAGTACTCCCATGAGGAAGGAGTTTTATTTGTTTTAGTTACCAAATCCAGATGAAAGATTACAGTTAGAAACTGAAAGCTACACGGTCAAACTAGAAACGTATCAATGCTCTGAATGAACCACAACACACCAGTTAGCATTAGTCTTTCAGTACATGACGGACAGGTGTGATGTTATTTTCTGTTGGTTTACATTTAAATATGTTTCTGTTTCAGCTGCTCGAAGAAAACATTGTCACTTTTGTGAAGAATGAGTTAAGGAAGTTCCAAAAGGTTCTGAGTCCAGATTACCCAGAATGCCATGATAATGAGGTGTTGGACGGTGAGGAGGAAAAGCAAAAGAGGAACAGCAGGGAGGCAATTCTGAAGATCACACTAAACTTCCTGAGGACAATGAAGCAGGAGGAGCTGGCTGACTGTCTGCAGAGCAGTAAGATGATTTTAAAAACTTTAAAATTAAATGGAAGACAACCACTCACTGATTCCATTCTATGATTATTTTTTTTATTTCAGGAGCTGGTGCTGTACTGTGCAAAAGTAAAGTCAAATCTAACCTGAAGAAGAAGTTCCAGAGTGTGTTTGAGGGAATCGCTAAAGCAGGAAACCCAACCCTTCTGAATGAGATCTACACAGAGCTCTACATCACAGAGGGAGGGACTGCAGAGGTCAATGATGAACATGAGGTCAGACAGATTGAAACAGCATCCAGCAAACCAGACAGACCAGAAAAAACCATCAGACAAGAAGACATCTTTAAAGCCTCACCTGGAGGAGAGGAACCAATCAGAACAGTGATGACAAAGGGAGTGGCTGGCATTGGGAAAACAGTCTTAACACAGAAGTTCACTCTGGACTGGGCTGAAGGCAAAGCCAACCAGGACATACAGTTCATCTTTCCATTCACCTTCAGAGAGCTGAATGTGCTGAAAGAGAAAAAGTACAGCTTGGTGGAACTTGTTCATCACTTCTTCAGTGAAACCAAAGAAGCAGGAATCTACAGCTTTGAAGAGTTCCTGGTTCTGTTCATCTTTGACGGTCTGGATGAGTTTCGACTTCCTCTGGACTTCAACAACACTGAGATCCTGACTGATGTTACAGAGTCCACCTCAGTGGATGTGCTGCTGACAAACCTCATCAGGGGGAAACTGCTTCCCTCTGCTCGCCTCTGGATAACCACACGACCTGCAGCAGCCAATCAGATCCCTCCTGAGTGTGTTGACATGGTGACAGAGGTCAGAGGGTTCACTGACCCACAGAAGGAAGAGTACTTCAGCAAGAGATTCAGTGATGAGGAGCAGGCCAGCAGGATCATCTCCCACATCAAGACCTCACGAAGCATCCACATCATGTGCCACATCCCAGTCTTCTGCTGGATCACTGCTGGAGTTCTGGAGAAGGTGTTGAAGACCAGAGAGGGAGGAGAGCTGCCCAAGACCCTGACTGAGATGTACATCCACTTCCTGGTGGTTCAGTCCAAACTGAATAAGGTCAAGTATGATGGAGGAGCTGAGACAGATTCACACTGGATTAAAGAGAGCAGGGAGATGACTCAGTCTCTGGGAAAACTGGCTTTTGATCAGCTGCAGAAAGGCAACCTGATCTTCTATGAATCCGACCTGACAGAGTGTGGCATCGATATCACAGCAGCCTCGGTGTACTCAGGAGTGTTCACACAGATCTTTAAGGAGGAGAGTGGACTGTACCAGGACAAGGTGTTCTGCTTCGTCCATCTGACTGTTCAGGAGTTTCTGGCTGCTCTTCATGTCCATCTGACATTCATCAACTCTGGTGTCAACCTGATGGCAAAAAAACAATCAAGAACCCATTGGCCTAAAGTGTTGAGAGCAAAACCTAAGCTAACAGATCTCTACCAAAGTGCTGTGGACAAGGCCTTACAGAGTCCAAATGGACACCTGGACTTGTTCCTCCGCTTCCTCCTGGGTCTTTCACTGGAGACCAATCAGAAACTCCTACGAGGTCTGCTGACACAGACAGGAAGTAGCTCACAGACCAATCAGGACACAGTCCAGTACATCAAGAAGAAGATCAGTGAGAATGTGTCTCCAGAGAAAAGCATCAATCTGTTCCACTGTCTGAATGAACTGAATGATGGTTCTCTAGTGGAGGAGATCCAACAGTCCCTGAGTTCAGGACGTCTCTCCAGAGATAAACTGTCTCCTGCTCAGTGGTCAGCTCTGGTCTTCATCTTACTGTCATCACAAAAAGATCTGGACGTGTTTGACCTGAAAAAATACTCTGATTCAGAGGAGGCTCTTCTGAGGCTGCTGCCAGTGGTCAAAGCCTCCAACAAAGCTCTGTAAGCAGATACATGACAGATATATTATCATTGCTAAATATGTTTGATATTTTACTTTGATTCAACATTTTGTTTGTATTAATCCCTGTTCCTCCCCTAGGCTGAGTGGTTGTAACCTCTCACAGAGAAGCTGTGGAGCTCTGTCCTCAGTCCTCAGCTCCGAGTCCTCTGGTCTGAAAGAGCTGGACCTGAGTAACAACAACCTGCAGGACTCAGGAGTGAAGCTGCTCTCTGCTGGACTGGCGAGTCCGAACTGTACACTTGAAACTCTCAGGTCAGGATCAGGTGATTTACTACAAAGATGACAAAGTGGTCCAAGTGTCGGATCTACTAAGTTCATGGTGGTGTTACGAAAATGTTACTGTGGGATAACAATGTCTACTAGTGTCTCTGCTAATATGTGTTTGGAAATAATGGTTTAAACTGAATGGTGAACTGGCCACTATCCTGCTCGGGATCAAAGTGTTGGACGGCTTGTCCAACCAACATGAACATCCTTTGGCCCACCTGCTTTCAGGGAACCAGGACGGTTTAAGTCGTGCTTTTAGTTTGTTAGAGCAATCTACTACACTGGAATAACTTATTTCACTGTAATAATGATTTTAAAATGTCTTTACAGTGACAGGACTTATTTTTAGTATCGATACTTCATTAAAATAGCGCGCGATCAGAGCGCACTCGCTGCTCCGCTCCCTGTCATGCTGCCTGCACGCATTGACTGCAAGGGGGCGGTGCTGCCCAGCGCTCACACACGCAACAGGCAGCGATCACTCACAGCAGCGATCGCTGGGGAAACACGGCCTCAAGTGCAGGAGCTTTTGCCGACCGTCCTCGGCTTGTTGGAAAAAAAGATGCCAGAAGTGAAATGTGGAAGTGCTTTGGCTACATTGCAGACAGTGAAGGAAAGCCCACTGACATACAGAGACCCGTCTGCAAAATGTGTTTCAAAGCCACACAGACCAAGGGAGGCAACACGTCAAACATGGCAAAGCACCTTTCAGACAGACACCCCGAACCTTTCAAAGCAAATGTGATTATAAACATGAACACCCCCATGCTCACCCATATACAGCTAACACGAGTAGCCTTAGCCTAGTTTGACGACAAGCCTATATGATCATGAGGTCACAATGCACACAAAAGTGTACTATATGAAACACAATTGATGCAAAATGGCTACATGCTGGTGGAGCCTGAGGGTGGATCTTGAGCTAATTCTTTTTATTTTTAGTTAAGGAAAAATAATTATTCCATGAATTAAGATAAAATATGAAGTGAAAATATCAAACTCACTATGCAAGTAAATTTAGCATTGTTTATCCACCCACTCCCACAGACAGTCAGACAGATGCCAGCAGAGTCAGCAGCAACACAGAGACAGAGTTCCCTTCCAGCTGTGTTTGAAAGCCAGCGGAATTATGAGAGAGGCTCAAAAGAGAGAGGCGAAGAGGTTCAACATTAATATGAATGCCATTTGTTAAGTGTTCAAAACGCTGGGCAGGAACAAGCTGGTAAAAAAGGGAACCATACAGATGTTTTATTTATTACTATTATAGATAAATATACCAGCATCGTATCGTATTTGTGGTATTGTATCGAATTCTGGTATCGTATCGTAAGTATCTGGTATCATGATACTTATGGCAGGTATCGTATCATAGTCATGATTTTGGTATCGTGACAACCCTACTATGTATACTATACTTGATAGACTCAATGTGCATCATTAAAAGAAAGTTTAATTGAATCACACTTAAAGAACCAAACCTTTTTTTAAAATATTTTTTAGGAAACAATTTCAGATCATTTGGTATTTTTCAATATATTTTATTAATTATATATTATTTTCTGATCCGCTCTGAAGAATCTGGATCAATACTGATCAATGATTTTAAATGTCTTTACAGTGACAGGATTTTCACATAATGTCTGTTTACAAAAGAAGATGAAACCAAAATGAAAGCCACTCATGTTCATGATGAAAATAATTATTCATTGTGTGTCGATATAAGAAACTCTGTGTGTTGTTTGTGTGTTTGCAGTCTGTCACTCTGTAAGATCACAGAGGAAGGCTGTTCTTCTCTGGACTCAGCTCTGAAGTCAAACCCCTCCCATCTGAGAGAACTGGACCTGAGGTTCAACAACCTGAAGGATTCAGACATGAAGCTGCTGTCTGATCTTGTGAAGAGTCCACATTGTAGACTGGAGACTCTGAGGTCAGTAGAGGGGTGGAGTCAGTCCATGCTGGTTTCAGCAGTATTGTAACAAACACAGATGCACAGGCTTCAGGATTGGACGAGAGAGAGAGAGAGTAGTCAGCCAATCAGATGAGTCAGAAGCTTGTTGTGATTGTGTGTTTGAGTCGATGTGTTGTTGTTCACGTCTACAGGAAGTGAAGCTTGTTAACAGCTGACGGCATCATCAGATGTTTAGAGACAGTGGTCCTCATTCATCAAACTATCAAACTATTGATCATTTCATCTTTGTCACAGCTCTGAGATCAGTCTGACTGAAGCCTGCACATCACTGCTCTCACTTCATAGAACCAGCGTTACATGTAGCCAATCATCAATCATGGCTGAAATAACCACTAGTGCTGCTTTGTTCAAGTTGAGGAAGTCCCAGATATCTGAAACCAAACTCCATCATGTCTGGTTCATGACATCATCTGGAGGCTGTATTCACTGTATCTATCCAGACACTCGTCGGCTGGTTTACTACAGCTGTATGAACCCAAAATAAGCAGATTCAGCTGTGATTTAAGTTTAACAAACATTCAAAGGATGCTGAAATAACTATATAATGATGTTGATTTGTAAAAAGTCTGACTTCATGCTTTGTCAGGTCTGTCCACAAGATGACAAGCAAACAATTGTTAAAATGGTTGTTTTCTGAATGGAGTTTGGATCAATAGATGCTAGGCTATGCTAACATTGTAGCTGCTCCATCATCTTGGTGTAAATAGGTCAGCGTGGTTATTGTTTGTACCATAGACAGTCTGTGGTTCATACTCATTCATACACATAGTTTGGTCTCTGTATGAGGTATCGTAGAGCTCTGGGTGAACACAGACGGATACAATATGTTCATCCTCCATTTCTGATTCAACAGCGTCAGGACGTCAGTGATGAAGGAGGAGAATCTCAACGCTGAAAGGCCTTAACGACACAGCCTCCCGTGTATTTCTTACTCCATTGGAAATATTTAAATTTGCATCGCGTCTTTCTCCTCATTCGCTCAAATTTACGTCTATTAGTGACTTTGCGTTTACTTTGTATGTAATCGCGTCACGTGAAAAGTCTGCTTGCCGTTTGTTGTGAATGCAGCATAACAGGGTTACATCCATCTTTACAGTGATCAGTGAACACCTCTCTGGTTCTGCAGTCATGATGCGTTCAGGACTCTCAGCACTTTATTTCAGTGGAACCTGCAGAGTCAACAGACTGGAGGCCCAAAGTGTCTGCAGGTGTGTGAGCCTGGAGCTCAGTGTAGGTTAACATGAGAGCTGAGAGGAAGCTGCTTTTTCTACTGGATGTGCTGCGTCACTGACTGACGGCTGATGAAGGGAGTCTCTGTAAACACTCATTCATCTCTTCTCTTGTCTTCTTCTTCTCTCATCAGATGGAAATGATCTCTCTCAGCTGAGTCCTGATGATTCAGAGAGCATCTGGAGACAGACTGCTCCACCACCTCCACCTGGATTTTATTTAGTGTACCAAACACCAGAAGACTTTTAAAAGACTAAAGTCTGACACCCTCTCACATATGAAGACATTGGGCCTCATATCACAACAGATTTACTCTTATTTAGGGCTCGAGGACCTTTTGAAATTCTACTGATTATATTTGTTCGGGTTCATATTTGTTGTCTGCCGCTTCAGCTCAAACTCCCGTGAGCTGGAATGAGGTAGAAAAATGAAACTTGGAACAATAACTGGAAATGATGTTCATGTGCTTCTCAAGATATAGAACTCAGATCGGCCACATGGTGGCGCTGTAATTAATGTCACAAAATGCGATTTTTGAAAAACCACGCCCCTCACACCAGAAGTCATTGACTGTAAATTTGATTTGTTTCATGATAATGTTTGTCTTGTATTGTGAAAACGCTCAATAGGGGCACCACCAGTCGTAATGTTGTGCATGGTGCTTTTCAGCTATTTTAAGTACGTAGTAAAGTTAAACAATGTCACTAAAATTCTGTTAAAATATGTTCACTATACAGTGTATAGTGAACGTATTTTACCATCATTTTGAACAGAATTCAGCTGTGTTCACAGAGTCACAGGGTTAAAGAACTCCTACTCACAAAAAGAGGTTTTATTCTGAGCAGCTTAACTTGACTCTGTAATGTCGGTGTAGCCCCGCCCACCTATCAACTCGTATAAAACCACTGCCTACTGACCAATCAGAGCTCAGTACGTGGATCGTTAGGAAATATTGAACCGATAAGAAGAAGTTAAGTCATAAAAGTAACACAGTTCAAACTGCTGAATGCAGAAAGAACAGCTGGCAATAAATCACAGACTGTGTGAATGATGAAATGAACAGATTCATAACATCACTGTCTCATGTAGAGCCCAACATCTACTACATGTGTGTATTCTGTTACATTCATGTGCTGCAGATGTATTCTGATGACACGAATGACAATATTTGAGTCTTATTCTCTCAGTTGTAACCCCGGCGCTGTGAAACAGACTTGGCTTGTTTTCTTTAGTTCTATTTCAGACTCATAAAGTCTTGATGCATTTAAGTTTTATTCTACTCAGTGAGTTACTATTGATTTCTCTCCTATCAATGAATCTCTCATGATTTTACTTCTTTGATTTCTATTATTACTGAGTGGTCATTTAATGATGATAATGTTTAAGTGACTTTCAGTCATTTATCGATGTGATATCCGACATGCTCTGTGAAGCATAATTGGTTGAGATGATTTAATGAGATAATCTTGGTTTGACATACTTTGCTCTGATCTTTGTCAGTCAGCAAAGGAAACAGGATGTGAGGTCAGATGCTGTAATCATGCTAACTGTTTAGGAGACACCCTGACTGATGTTCCACCAGGAAGACCAGACAGGAACCTTAGAAATAAGTGCTAACTTAAAGAAGTCTGTCATGAACTGTAAGACTACGTAAACAGCTTCATCCAATGATTTACTAATGTTTAGTAGTCGACCATATATGGACCAGGAGGTTAACGATGCTCCAAGTAAAAAGGTAGAAATAGGAGGAGACTACAAACAATCAGGGCTTTTTGGGGTTTATTCAGGTGCTCCTAGTTAGGAGTCTTTTTGACGAGGATTATTTGGTGATTTGAACTTTTGAATTTTGCCTTTTCTTTTATTTGCTTTTCACATTATCCTTTTTTGTAACTTTTAATCTTCTTTTTATTGTATAAAACAAATAAAACTGGTTTGTATTTTGTACATTCCAACCAAAGCCCAGTGCTGCTGGTCTCTGAGGGTGTCTGCGTAGTCTCCATAAGGTCAGAGAGCTCTTCTCCTGAGAGGCTGACAGCAGTGCATGATTGGATATGAATATGAACAACAGACCTGCTACAAACTGAGCTTAAATGCTGTTCTTCAGTCTGATGTGATTTACTAACTTGGTTGGCTCAGATAGTGTTGATGCTCTGCTGGTTTATCATGCTTGGTGTTCATGTGATTACAGGACTTAGACATAACTGTTGTGTCTTTGGTGAAGCAGTAGGGGTCAGATTGGTGCCTGATTTGAGGGTGTTAGGGTTAGAGTCCTGAAGCTGACCTTCATAACCGAGGGAGGATCCCAACCCCACAGGGTTCCTCCTCCTGTGGTG